AAAAAAAAGAAAAAAAAAAATGTACAGGTTTAAAGAAAGATAGATGATAATGATCATGATAAGTGCAGGTAGTTTGATGGATGGTTTATCCCAAGATTATGTGTGTGCAGTAATTTTGTATAAGTGTTCCTCAGGGTAGATGTTTGCAGTTCAACAAATGTTTATTTTTTTCCCTCAGCATGTATGACAATTTGCTAGGCTTTATGAAGCTTCCAGGTTTACAGTTGTAAATATTAGCATAAACTAGACTGTTTTGAATGTGAGCATTTTAAACTCAAACTTAGGCTATGTGAGTGTAACCCTATTTTTAAGATGTATGCAAGTAATGGCTTAAATGCATACATTCTTACACAAGCATACACAGACATATGCCTGTAAATGTATACACTGACCACAGACACATACAGACACTGTCATGGATACACAGATACACAAACACTGACATAAAGACACTGATATGCACATATTGATACACAGATGCATAGATGCTGATACCCCAATACACAGACACAGATGCAGACTCACACATTGAGACACTGATACACTGATACACAGATACACAAACACTGACATAAAGACACTGATATGCACATATTGATACACAGATGCATAGATGCTGATACCCCAATACACAGACACAGATGCAGACTCACACATTGAGACACTGATACACTGATACACAGATACACAAACACTGACATAAAGACACTGATATGCACATATTGATACACAGATGCATAGATGCTGATACCCCAATACACAGACACAGATGCAGACTCACACATTGAGACACTGATACACTGATACACAGATACACAAACACTGACATAAAGACACTGATATGCACATATTGATACACAGATGCATAGATGCTGATACCCCAATACACAGACACAGATGCAGACTCACACATTGAGACACTGATACACTGATACACAGATACACAAACACTGATACACAGATACACAAACACTGACATAAAGACACTGATATGCACATATTGATACACAGATGCATAGATGCTGATACCCCAATACACAGACACAGATGCAGACTCACACATTGAGACACTGATACACTGATACACAGACACTGTCACAGAACACACACATGCAGAATCTCCTCTCTCCTCCTCCTCTCTTCTCTTCTTTCTTCCTCCTCTCTTCTCTTCTTTCTTCCTCCTCTCTTCTCTTCTTTCTTCCTCCTCTCTTCTCTTCTTTCTTCCTCCTCTCTTCTCTTCTTTCTTCCTCCTCTCTTCTCTTCTTTCTTCCTCCTCTCTTCTCTTCTTTCTTCCTCCTCTCTTCTCTTCTTTCTTCCTCCTCTCTTCTCTTCTTTCTTCCTCCTCTCTTCTCTTCTTTCTTCCTCCTCTCTTCTCTTCTTTCTTCCTCCTCTCTTCTCTTCTTTCTTCCTCCTCTCTTCTCTTCTTTCTTCCTCCTCTCTTCTCTTCTTTCTTCCTCCTCTCTTCTCTTCTTTCTTCCTCCTCTCTTCTCTTCTTTCTTCCTCCTCTCTTCTCTTCTTTCTTCCTCCTCTCTTCTCTTCTTTCTTCCTCCTCTCTTCTTTCTTCCTTCTCTCCTCTCTCTCCCTCTTCTTTATCTTTCTTTTTCTCTTTCTCTTTCTCTTTCTCTTTCTCTTTCTCTTTTATTCTTTCTCTCTCACACACATGTGCACACACACGCGCACACACATCTTTATTTTTTATTCATTTATTTATTTTTTGAAGAATGGTGTTATTCTGTGTGCAACAATGGGGTAAAAAAAAAAGTTAGATCAAGACAGGTTCATTGGTAGGTCAAAATTGGCTTTAAAAGGTGGTGTCCTTTGTCATATAAAAAAGAAAAAAAAGGAAAAGGAAAGACAGGTAGTTAAATTACTTTTACCTGTGTTGTGTAAATAAGATAAATAGAAGAGAGAGAGAAAAAAAACAATGATACCAAATTGAAGTAACCTGAAATTTTAAAAAATGGAAAAAAAAAATACGGAAGGAGAGAGAAAAAAAATGCAAGAGGGTAAATAAAGCATATTCTATGGCAGCATGTTGAAGTTGTGTCTTGTGTCAGACGTGTTTCTAATCCCCGTCCTTAATTTGACAGAGGGGACAGCACGTGCACGGTCTCCCTTGAGAGAAGTTGACCAGTCGGGCAGTCTCGTTCTGGGTAAGTGGATTTTTGCCTCCTGTTTCTTGTGCATGCTTCTTTCTCGGTAGTATGTCAGGTTTAGCAAGTCAGTGACCAGGTTTGGATGGGTTAGGGAATAGGTTTGCTTTATTATGTAAGGCTAGTGTTTAGAGAATGGGGGAGGGCATCTCTGTGGATGGGGGGAGTAAGTGATGGTGATTAGGGTTTATGTAGAAAACTGACAGATGGAAGTCGAATTGTTATGCCATTGCTGCTGGGGGGATGGCATTCAATTTTATCTCTTTTTCTTTCTCTTGCTCTCTTGCTCTTTCTTTCTTTATCTCTATCCCCTCTTTCTTTCTCTCTCACTTCCCCCCCCTCTCTCTTTCTCTCTCACTTCCCCCCCCTCTCTCTTTCTCTCTCACTTTCCCTATCTCTTTCTCTCTCACTTTCCCTATCTCTTTCTCTCTCACTTCCCTATCTCTTTCTCTCTCACTTCCCTATCTCTTTCTCTCTCACTTCCCTATCACTT